TTGGATGTGTTTGAGGTGATAGTGTCTACCAATTGAATCAACAATTGTGTGGAAATTATGTCGAAACGTGTGAACGACAGCCAAAGCAACGATAAAAACAAGGATCAAGTGATCAGTAAACTGCCGAAAATGGAGCCACAGATGGACGAAGACCTGATGGACGAGGACCTGATGGGTGTGGACGACGAGGAGGACGACGACGACGACGATGAGGACATGGAGGGCGTGATTACCATTGAGGGCATCGAACTCGAGGCGAGTGTCGACCGCGTGAAGGACTGTCTGAAGCAGAATAAGATCGAAGTGGAGGACATCGATGACTACGACTTCTATCTGCAGGACCTGCGTCTTGAGGGCCAGAAGTCGATCATAAGTCAGTGTAATCTCGTTGAAGGCGCCAAACAGCAGACCCGTCTCATCAACATTAAGCTCGTCTTCGACCCCGACTTCAAACGCGTCAACATTTTAGACATTTTGAAACCCCCGGAGACGGCGCCCAAAGCCCTGTCCGCCGCCAACACCACCGCTCACTCCAACTCCGGCGCCAACGCCGCCAACAACGGCTTCAACGCCAACAATAGTCTCAACCAAAACTCATCGCAATTACAATCATCGCAACAAACGAAGCAATTATTACAACCGAAACGACTCATCGGTGGCATCAAAACCAACCAAAACATGGACGGACAGGGACTGCCGTCACCGGGCAATCGCACCGGGAATAACGGACAGATCCAGTTGTGGCAGTTCCTACTGGAACTGCTCACAGACGCAGACCACAGAGATTGCATCCAATGGATAGGGAGTGAAGGTATGTGTTACGGGCACCAGTAGTAGTGGTAATAGTAGTGCTAATATTGATGTTATGGACCCATAGGTGAGTTCAAACTGAACAACCCTGAAGTGGTGGCCCAGTTGTGGGGTCTCCGCAAGAATAAGCCGACGATGAACTACGAGAAGCTGTCGCGAGCGCTCAGGTATTACTACGACGGGGATATGATCGCCAAAGTGCACGGAAAACGGTTTGTCTATAAGTTTGTCTGTGACCTCAAGTCACTCATCGGATACGACGCCCAAGAACTCGACCGACTTGTCTGTCAGACCCAACACAAGAGGATTAACGTCTGATTGGCGCTAATGTTTGCATTATTTTTTGTATTCATCGCTGAGAGACTAATTTTTAAGGTTTTCTATTCATTTCAATATTATTGTAAATTATTATATTTCAAGATTTGATTTATCATTTATTCATATATATATTAACGATTATTATTAATTTACAAATCATTAAATTAAATACTTTTATAATTTATATGTTAATACTGTATGAGATATCAATAGTTTTCATGATATTGTATGTATCGTACCGTTCACTCCCTCCGCAGATATTCTGCACAACTATTGTATCGATCGCTCGATATTTGAGCGTTTGTTTGTGGAGTCGGCTATCCTTTTGAGACATTTATATTATATAATAAATCCTTTGCCTCTAATTTATTGTTATTTCCATATGTTATTTATAGAAACTCACGATTTAATATATGTGTTATTTAAAAAATGCATTTAATTTTTTTTAGTTTACGTTTCTATTCATTTAACATGTTTTTTGAAATGAAATAAAATTTAAATTCAATTAAAATTGTTAGTAAATATTGAGCATCCGGTGGTTTAATGGACAGAATCTGAAAATTAATATAAAATTTTACAAAATGTTTAATTGAGTTGACTTTCGATGTCATCTATTTGTGTGAATGAAATGAAGTCTTATATGAGTTACGAATTCAAGCGAATATAATGAAGAAAAGACACCAATTATTATATAATAACTAATTGACACTCAAATAGAAAACGGGATTTCATTGATTGACAAAATGGCGATCAATGACAAGCCAAAGATGTTGATGGATGAGAGTCTCGAAGAGGAGAACAGCGGCGACGAGGAGGAAGAGGGTCGCGACGAACACCAGAAGCCGTTGATAGAGAGCGAGTCCTCTCAGACCGAAAGTGTAATTCCCCTTTCAATCGGCAAAATTAAAATTTTTAAACCCCGAAGACGTAATCGGTTTCTACTTAAGAAATACTTTAAGCTGTGTTCAGTCATTTTGGTGATAATCGTTGTCTGTGTTTATTTGCTTCGTTTGAGAGACTCTTTGTATCTGTCGCCCTATTCATTGAAATCAAGTAAAGCGAGTTGTGATCGATTGTCAACTGTTTTGGTGTGGAATAAGACATTTCCAATGCTTACCATTGAATCTGCTCTAAGACTTGTTGATGTCAACAATGATACCATACTTGATGCTATCGTTCCGTTTGGAACCGGTATGTGTGCTAGTTTATAAAGAATTTAAATATTGCATTATACATTGTCTTGATACTTTATACATTTCTAAATTATCTAATTTTTATTCAATAAATTTATACAATAAATAAACAGTAAGGTTTTATACCATAATGATTTGATATACCAGGTAATTTAGAATTGACAAATAGTCATTATTAGTTACTAAAAGATTTTTACTAATGTGTTAAATAAGTTACCTAGTAAAATATTTAATACTGTTGAATTCATCCATATAATCTATAAATAGACATACAGTAAATGTCTAGTGATCGTTAACAATTATTATCAAGTAATGCACAATAATTTATTTATATTTTCTCAATTACTTTTGTTTTTTCGTTGCAATCGTTGCACTAAATTCTTTGCAAAGAATCCGCTGACAAATGAAAGTTTAATGCTTTTCAACCATCAAATAGATGTGTTTATCCAATATTTCAAATCAGATTTATATTTTTATTTATGACAGTTATTACAAATAAATTATGAATTCTTAAACCAATTATTTTTGTTTATTACTGTATTTGTTTAATCTAAATAAAATTTAAAACAAAAAATTAAATTTATTTATAATTTATTTTGTCTAAGGGTTGGACGCTTCGTCTTATAATTACATTTCATGTCAAATATATTTCAATCAAACAAAAACCGATACCTCGGGTTAGTTTGGATTTAATTTATGTTTAAAAATCTTTGTTTTAAAAGATAATTTCCTTCCAAAGGATGTGGAGGTGGGGTAATGGCCATCGATGGGCGCACGGGTGAGCAGCTGTGGATTCGTTACACTCCTCACGAGTTATTTGCCAGTAATTGTAATAATGATATTAATGGTGATGCCATCAAAGACTGTATTCTGGGAGGACGGATGGCCGTGAGTTCAC